TCCTTCCTTCCTTCCTTCCTTCCTTCCTTCCTTCCTTCCTTCCTTCCGTCCTTCAAGGCTGGATCATGCAGTGGCATAATCATAGCTCACTGCAGCCTTCAACTCTTGGGCTCAAGTGTCAAGTAATCCTCCTCCCTCAGCCTCCCATGTAGCTGGGACTACAGATGCGTAGCACAATGCTGGCTAATTTTTTACATTTTTATAGACACGGGGTCTCACTATGTTGCTCAGGCTGGTCTCAAACAATCCTTCTGCCTTGGCTTCCCAAGGAGCTGGTACTACAGGCATGCCACCATGCTTGGCTAATTTTTAAAAATTGTTTTTAGAGATAGAGTCTTGCGATGTTGCCCAGGCTGGTCTCAAACTCCTGGCCTAAAGGTCCCCTCACCTCAGCCTCTTGAGTAGCTGGGATTATATTCTCGAGCGACTGTACCTGGCATTTTCTATTTTTTTATGTAGGTCATAACTCACTAAATTTATTTTACAACTCATTAATGAGTCATTATACACAGGTTTAAAAAGACTAGATACATACAAAAGTCTGCAATTGAGTAATTAATAAAGAAAATAGTGGTTTAAGGACTGGAGCCCACTAACTTATTTAGACAGGAGCTAAAATAACTTGCCCTCTTGAGGTGGCTGATCAGATGTTTCAAAGCAGGTTCAATTACTGAATTCTGGCAAGGAAGAAATGGCTGGATTTTAGGGACTGAGCAATAAAGAGTCCATCAGCAAATATTTATAGAACATCTATTAAGTGTCAGGCACTTGTGGTCTGAATGCAAAACAGAAAGTTTAAAAGTTTACAATCTGCTGAGAAAGATGGACATTAATCTGACATCTGGGCCCATCAGAATGTAATTCTTCCAATCTCAAAGATATTACTAGAAATGGAATATCTTGTTAGTTTTTTAGTTTAAGATCAATGTTTTTTTTTCCTATCCCAGGCAAGAGGTTTCTATACTATAATCTAACTCCACAGCAAGTTAGATACTGAATCCAGCTTTAACAGAAAAAAAAAAAAAAATCTGATTTCAAAAAATCCAGCTATTACATAGTAAATTCTTTTTCTTTGAGTTTGCCTTTCTAAGTTACTAACGGATATTTCAGGTTATAATGATCCAGCTTCGGTATTAGTGACTCCCAAAGCAGTCACATTCCAGCTTTTAAAGAATCCCTTGAGCTTGTAAGCACCATAAAAACTAATCTTACCAGAAGCTTCTTCATTCTGAAGTTAATGGATATAAACTATCCTAGTGACCAAAGTTATATTTTAAAAGAAAATGTCAGAAATTTGACACAGTCTAAGACCCAATACCTATTTCAGGATTCCTCTTCTGGAATATGAATAGTTTTTCAATTTGATTCCTGTTTAATTATCTGAAAGACGTAGTCTAAAAAAACTCAAAGCAACTAAAATATGAAACCATCTAAAGCTAATGGAAGAGATAGATTTTAACTTTTTAAGCATTTTTCTGAACCCTCCGTGGTACCCAGTCCATTGTTTTGTGCACAGTGGACATAAAATAATCAGTTCCTCAATCAATGAGATCAAAGTTTAAACACTATGTCTTCACATAATGACAAGAACTAAACAATATAGCTGCATTTCATCATATAAATTATTAAAAGTGGAAACTCCATCAGCGGTTAGCCACAATGAACTCCCTTTGGTTACAGTTCTCTGATGAGTCCTAAAAGTTGCTGGAACGACTTTTCCAGGGTCACTATCTATCAGGGACCACACGTGTATTAAAGGAGAGCTGAACATGTGGGCTTTGGAGCAGGAATTGAATCCTACTTCTACTCCCCAGTTGATATGCTTCAGCTTTCACATCTGTAAAACAGGATAGTAAGAATAGCGAGATAATCCACGTAAAGTACTCTAAACGGAATCTAGCACCCAGCCTGTTCAATAAATGTTAGCTAATATTAATATTAGAATCCAGCCCCTCAACACCCACTTAAGTGTTCTTTCCCCCGCACTGTGCTGCCTCCTTACGTACTCTCCAATATGTTAAAGATGTTATGTGGAATTGCGAAGGTCCCAGAAACTACTTCCCAGGCAGGAGTGTGGCTGAATCCCTCCAGTGAGCTCTGTGGGCCCAAAGGGAAGAAGGTTCTCTGTTTTTCCTTATGCCTGCTGTTGCATAATCTTTTTCCTCCCCAGTTTCAGTAAGAATCAAATGACTCTATAAGAAATAATTCGGCTTTCCTGAGGAAAGAAAGCAAAAAATAAAAAATAAATTAAAAAAACCTCCCAAAACAAAACAAAGAAAGATGATAAAAAGTGCTTCGCAGAAAGGAAGAAATGATGAAGGTGGTGGGGGTGGCGGGGGGGGGAGGAGCAGAATGAAAATAAGGAGGATACAATTACCTTCTATTACTCCAGAAAGATTAAACAGAAAAGATCCTTCTTGGCTGTACAACTAGGATATGGTATGACTGTGGTCATAAAGAAACATCCAAAGGTAGGAGCTCCCCACTACCTAGGTCACAGAATTTCAAACCCACCCATCTAATTCTGGTTCAGTGAAATCCAGGACCTCTCTCCTCTAGGGTACTTCTTTCTGAAAGCCATTTCCTTAAGGCTTTTCCAGAAGCTCTGGAATGTGTCAGCAGTAACACTTAATAACCCACAAGTAAAGCTAATGGCCCTGGGAGAAAATCTATTCCATGGCATGACATGAACTCCATGGACTCAGCGTCTACCCTCTGTGCATGCTCACTAACAACTGACCAAAGTCTCTTGTCAGGAACAGGCATACTCAGGACAAGGGTGGGAGTTCAGAGGAGTTCAGGGTGGGGTCAGAAAGAGGCCAAAGGCCCTCTGCTCTCCCAATCTGAAACACAGTCCTATAACAATCTGAATGTTTCTCCATGGTTGTTCCAATCTCTTTGGATGACCTATGCTAATACTAAGAAAAGAAGCTCAAAACAACATCCTTTAAAATAAAACAGACAATCAAATCTAAGCTTTCATTTCTTAAACTACCACTGTGACCTTTTCCTTGGCACATTTCCATCTCTTACTCTTTTGGATAATGATTTGGGTGGGGGCGTAATGTCTTAGGCCCTGGTTTCTCATGCCAAAGCATTTCTTGAGGTCATTCTGAAGATGAGTAATCACCCCATTTTCCAAGCAGGATACTAAAAGCACAGAATAGAAATGGTATATCTAGGTGATATCCTTAAGTAGACTGTGGGTATCCTTAAGTAGGTATCCTTAAGTAGACTGGGACATAAGGGACAAAAGACACAAAAGCAAACAGGCAACATAAGAGCACAAATCTCTCAGCAGCTGTAAAATGAACTAAGAAGGAAAAGCAATCAATGGCTTGGAACTGGGAGAGAAAGAGGGGAAAAGAGCCAGAATGATAATGTACTTGAAAACATATGCCCTCCTACAATAAGGAAATCTAGGAGCTGGGGGATGGGAAGAATGCCTGTGTGGCTCCCAGATGGCTGGGCCAGGAGGAGGCTGGAAGAACAGGAGTTAATAGAGCTCATCTGAAAGCTGGAAGTGTGCATACCAAGAGGAGGAGGGCAGCCTGGTAGGAAGTAAAACAGTCAGCAGCACTGGTACAGGAAATGCCTGGGGCACTGGGAAAATCGCTGATTAAATATTTTTAAGAAGAGGAACCCAGCAGCAAAGTCAATTCATCGAGAGATCTGTCTAGTTTTAGAACTCTTGGGAGTAGCCTTTAGAATCAAGAGAGGAAGAGGCTCCAGAGGGTTATGAAGATAGCATTTTCTTGACAACTCAGGTGCCAGGGTTGGACCTAAGAAGAGGACAAAGCAAACTTTGGGGGACTCAGTAGAGCCCTTTACTGACAGAAATTAGAATGCATTGCCTAGGGACTGGGATGGAGATTTGCGCCTGGATCAGCTTTCTTCAGCTACAGTGTTGGTTTGCAGCCTCTTGTCTTTGTCCACAGTAAACACATGAGCAGCCATTCCCATTAGTCATGGCCCACATACAGTTGAAAAAAAAAAACAATATTCCTGGGGGAGGGTACCTTCCCTCTTGCCAGTACCCCACTCCCATTGAAAAATCATTGAATCATGAGAAAAAGGATACAGACTTTGGAACTGGAGCTTTCCCACCCCCAGCTCTAATTTCTCACCTAAGCTCTTCAATTTGTCCTCCCCATTTCTGGCTTATACCTTATAAATGTTCCATGCACACTTGAAAAGAATGTGTATCTACCCACAGTTGTCAGGCACAGTATCCATATACATCATTTAGGTCAAGTTTGTTGTTTTTCAACTCTTCTGTATTTTTACTAACTTTTTTGGTCTAGTTGTTTAAATTCTTTGAGACAGGTATGTTAAATCTCTCAATGGGGCTGATGATTTATTTAGTTCCCATTTTAATTCTGTCCCATTTGATTTACATATTTTAAGGCTATGTTATTAAGTATATACTTCTTCCTGGAAACTTGAGTCTTTATTAGGAAATGTCTCTCTTTATAACTAATAATATTTTTTGCATTAAAATCTACCTGGTCTGGCTGAGTGCAGAGGCTCATGCCTGTAATCCCAGCACCTTGCAAGGCTGAGGTGGGCGGATCCCTTGAAGCCAGGAGTTTGAGACCAACCTGACTGACATGTGAAACCCTGTCTCTATTAAAAATACAAAAATTAGCTGGGCATGGTGGTGCACACCTGTAATCCCAGCTATTCGGGAGGCTGGGTTCAACTGCTTGAACCCAGTAGGCGGAGATTTCAGTGAGCTGAGATTGCACCACTGCCCTTTAGCCTGAGTGACAGAACAAAACTTTGTCTCCAAAAAAAAAAAAAAAAAAAAGAGAGAGAGAGAAAAGAAAAGATCTACCTGGTCTGATTTTATTGTAGCTATCTTTTCTTATCACTTTGCTTTAAATCTTTCTTTATCCTTATAAAGTGTATCTGTTCTCTTACAAGCAACATACACTCCAGTTTTCCTTTTTAAAAATCTGTCTTTAATTTGCATAAATCAACTTACACCTTACATTAAGGTTTAAACTCACCAACTTGTGAATTGCTGTCTATTTGTCCTGTCTCTTCTATGTTCCTCTTTCCTCTCCTTTCCTACCTTCTTTTTTCTTCCATTTACAAAACATTCAGAAAATTCACTCTTGTTGGTATACAGTTCTACATGCTTTGGCAAATGCACAGAGTTGTCTAACTGTCACAGTTAAGACACAGAACAGTTCCATCACCTGCCAAGAATCTCTTGTATCCTGCACCTTTGTAGTCAAACTCTCCTCTACCCTTAGCCACTGGAAGTCATTGATCTGTTCTGTATCTCTATAGTTTTGCCCTCACCAGAATTTTTCTCTCCTTCTTTTGAGTTATTTTTTTATTAATTGAATTTGTCCCTGTCTTAGATTGGTAGAGATACTATTCTTTGAGTGGTTACCAAAAATTAACAACATGTATCCTTGAATTGCCAACATCTAATACAAATTACTACTTTTACCATGTTCTGAAAATACCTTTAAACCCATTTCCCTACCCCCTACCCAGACACAGATTCTATTGTTGATTTCATTGTTCCCATTTATATTAATTTTATATATATTTAAAACCTCACAGGGTTGGCCTGGTGTGGTGGCTCATGCCTGTAACCCCACCACTTTGGAAGGCCAAGGCAGGAGGGTCACTTGAAGTCAGGAGTTCGACCAGCCTGGGCAACAGATAGACCCTCTCTATAAAAAATAAGCCAGGCATGGTGGCACACACCTCTTGTCCCAGCTGTTATACTTGAGAGGTTGAGGTGGGAGGATCATTTAAGCCCAGGAGTTCAAGGCTGCAGTGGGCTATAATTGTGCCACTGCAGTCCAGGCTGGGCAACAGAGCAAGACTCTGTCTTACCCACTCACACCCCTAAAAAAAGGAAAACCCCACAGATGATTATTAGTGTTGTTTTTAACCATGATTATTCATTTAGATTTATATTATTATATATAGTTTCTGTTGCTCCTCATTCTTTACTGCATTTCTAAGATTCTATTTGCGATCATTTTCCTTCTGCCTAAATAATGCCATTAAGTATTTCTTTTAGTGCAAGTCTGCTGGTGATCCATTTTCTCATATTTTTCTTGTCTGAGGACATCTTTAGTTTACCATTTTTGAAGGCTATTTCTTTCTACACTTACACTCCATTGTCACCTGCCTTCTATTGCTTTTGTTCCGAAGTCAGCTGTGAACCATGCTGCTGCTCCATTGAAGACAGTAAGTCTTTTTTACCTCTAGCTGTTTGTATTTTCTTTGTATTTCTCCTATTTGGGACTCATGATACTTCAGTCTGTGGCTTGAGGTCTTTTTTAGTTTAGGGCAATTCACAGCCATTATCTCTTCAAATATTGCTTCTAACCCATTCTCTTTGTTCTCTTCTTCTGAGACTTCAAATAGAAGCATGTCAGGCCTACCCACCATATCCCACAAGTCTCTTATGCTCTTTTCTGTATTTTCCATCCTTTTATCTCTCTCAGGTTCAGTATGGATTATTTTCTGACCTTTCAGGTCATTAATTATTTATTCAGAACTATCTAATCTGCTACTTGATCTACACATTAAATTCTTTTAATTACTGTATTTTTTGTACTAAAATTTGTTTATATTTTTAAATTATTGAGATGTAATTCACATACCATACAATTTACCACTTCAAGGTACACAATTCAGTGGTTGTTAGTATATTTGCAAGGTTGTACAACCACCACCACTATCTAAGTCCCAAACATTTCATCACACCAAAGAAAACTCAAACCTGTTAGTAGTCACTCCCCATTTTCCCTTCCCCCAGCACCTGGCAACCACTAATCTACTTTCTATCTCTATAGATTTGCATACTCTGGACATTTACTATAAATGGAATCACATATAATACGTGGCCTTTTATGTTTCACTTCTTTTACTTATAATGTTTTCAGGGCTCATCCATATTGTAGCATGTATCAGCACTTCCTTCTTTTTTATGACTAAGTACTACTCCACTGTATGGATACAGCACATTTGGTTTCAATTGTATAGGCATGCCATACTTTATTTAGGTTTGTTCCATAAATCACTTCATTAACATTTGGGTTGCTTCTGCTTTTTGGTTATTTTGAATAATGCTGTATGAACATTTGTGTACCACTTCTTGTGTGAGCATATGTTTTCAATTCTCTTGGGTATGCACCTAGGTGTGGAATTGCTGGGTCACAGGGTAATTCTATGCTTAAATTTTTTAGGGCTTCAGTTTTCCACAGCATCTGCACCATTGCACAATCACACCAGCAATGTATGAGGGTTCTGATTTCTCCACATTCTCTCCAAAACTCTTCTTTCCTTTTCTTTCTTCCTTTTTAAAATTATAGCCATCCTAGTGGTAGTGAAGTGGTATTTCATTGTGGTTTTGATTTGTAGTACCCTAATAAATAACAGTGTCAAGAATGTGCTTGTTGGCCATTTGTATATCTTCTGTGGAGAAATGCCTATTCAAGTCTTTTGCCGATTTTTAAACTGGACTGTTCACCTTTTTGTTGCTGAGTTATAAAAATTCTTTATATGTTCTGAAATCAGAACCTTATGAGACATATGTTTTGAAAATACCTTCTCCCATTCTATAGCTGTATTTTGATTTCCTTGACAGTGTCCTTTGAAGCGTGGAAGTTTTTATTTTGATGAAGTTCAATTTATTTATGTTTTCGTTTGTTGCTTGTACCTTGGTATCATATCTAAGAAAACACTGCCTAGTCCAAGGTCATGAAGACTTACACCTATATTTTCTTCTAAGAGTTTATAGTTTTAGCTCTTACATTTAAGTCTTTGATCCATTTTGAGTTGATTTTTTTTATTATTTCCAGGTTTGTTTTTATCATTTAATTTCATATACATTAAACATAGCTAATTTAAAGTTTGCATCTGAGAATACCATTACTAGGATCTCCTGTGGGTCTAGCTGTTTCTCTTAGCTTTTGGTCACAGTTCTGACTTCCTCATAGGCCTAATTATTTACAGCTGAGTGCCAAACATCATAATGAAAAATGATGGCAGATATATTAGGCCTAGGATGATAGTATCTTCCATAGTATCTTCTTCTCGAGAGGATTTAAATTTGTTTCTAGCCACTGGCTATCCTAAATCACCTTAACCCAATTAGAGCTTAAGGTAATGTGAAACTAGGCTTTCGTCTCTATGAAACTGTCTTAGTCTGTTTCTGGCTTATCCTTACTTCTTAATTGTATCCCTTTGGTGTCTCAAAGCCTGGGGAATTTTACCAAGGCTACCCCTTCTCAGCCTTAAATTCCAGTATTTGTCCTGCTAGCCCTACAAGTCTATTAAACACTCTGCTCAGCTTTTTGACACTCAGTAATATTTTCTGGAATGGCAGAAGCCTCTTCAAGAAAAGCAGCTCCCATGAAGAAAAAGTGTTGGTCTGAATTTGCTTCTAGAAAAGCTGCCATTTCTAGAAGCACAACTCTAAGTTTAAACTTTGAAAACAGATTGTCTTATGTTTATTTGTAGCCCTTACCAGGCCCAGTGCAATTCTGAATACCTAATAAGAACTAAAATATGTTTTGTATGATATAATGAACAGATACTGGTGATAGTGAAGGCTTGACACACTTATGGTTTTAAGTTGTTCATTTCCCAGGACATGGTAACCGAAGTATTCTGGTAAAACAAAAGAGAAGCAAGCCTGAGGTTTTAAATATGGTTTCACATTACTTCCTTAGGGACTTTTCAAAAACCACACTCCATCAAAGAGAAAAAGGAGGCTAAATCTACCTCAAATAAAGGGCATCTCTGAAATTAGCTGAGTGATTAAGAATCCAGACACTAATCTCAGAGATCCTCTGGTGACTACCAAATGGAGGAACTCTATAAGAAATTCTAAAAACTGGCACATATAAAAGCTCTATATGGGCCATCTGGGGTCTGAGGAAGATTTGGGCATCTAGTTCCTGAGACATATGTGGAAATGTCAGCTTCACCAGCCACCTCAAATTCTGTAACAGCACACTGGCTTTTTCTAAGTGGCACTAGCATAAAAAATGAAAAGAAGTAATCATTGACTTTAAATTCTCTTTCCAATAAGTGGCCATACGCTGTTCATTTCTCCTTCGTGATATATCTGGCATCTGTCTCCTTCTTTTCATTCCCCCTGCCACTGCTACCACATCTCAGGCTCTTACTACCCTGTTCTGGAATTAGATGCCCAGGCTTTCAGAAACAGCAGCAATATTTTATCATTTTTCTACAAGTAGATCTTTCGTCATTCCCTAGCGCTCTCAGAATGAAGTTCAAACTTCTTAGTCTGGCATTCGAGGCTCTTTACGGCTTTGTTTCAGCTGCTCTCCTCATTAACACTCTGATTTAGCCAAACTATTTTTACTCACCACCCTCTGAATAGTCTTCACACATTCCTGTGCTCTCCTTCATCCTGAAGCCTGTTCCTCCATATGGAATGTCCTTTGACTTCAGCTCCCCCTCCCTGCTCACAAACTCCATACTTTTTCATCTTTAATTTCATCTCATTACTGAAATCATTTTCATTCACTAAAAACCCAGCTCAAATTTCACCTCTCTATAACTCTCTGCACAAAAAGCACTTAGTACTTATAGATGCTAAAGCTTAGAGAGGTCAAGCAATTTGTCCATGAGAACAACTATTAATTGGTGAAGTTGGAATTGAACTCATAAACTCCTTCAATGCTATTTTGTCTTATCTGTATTCTCCTTATCTTGTATAATGCCTTGCATATAGTAAGTACCTAATAATTATTGGGTGAAGATAGGGAAAAGAGAGGCCATAAATTTTCACAGCAAGAAAGAGATTGTACAAAAGAATATTCTTGATGTTATCAGTTTTTAAATTCCTCAGATGTATACTGCTGAAAAGGTTGTGATTCCATCTGTTGAAAACAGAATCATACAAGCAGAGCTATAAAAATAAGCTGCTAGAATATTCTGGTTAAAGGAAAGAAATCTAAAACTTAATCAGCTTTTAAATCCATTTGCTGCATTGGGATTGTTGGCAGTTCAAAGGGCAAATGGCAAAAGCATGTCTCACCAAGCACCCTGGCCACAGTGCAGATGGAACTCAGCCAAGGGGTTATCCAGCTAGAAAGCATTACTGCTTTCTCACTGACCCAGGCAGTCCTGTGGAAGCCTTCAACAGTCCATGTGTTCTTTGCTTTGGTCTTGGGACTTAAGGATAAATGAAATGAGGATGGTGGGTAAATGACAAGGGCGGGCACTGTCTTGGGGGCACTGCCTCTCATTCTTGCCCTACAGAGTTCAGGCAACAATCTTCTTGGGGAGCCCCAAGGAAGGGGGTGGAAGGAGGCTGAAGACAATGGGTGCTTTCAGGAGTCCCCTACTACCCAGAGAAGCAAGGAGCAGAGCAAAGGTTCAAATACCCAGGGGAAAGGAAACCACTTCTTGATCCCTTCCAAACACAAGGACCATAATCAAAGAATTGCTTGCTATAGTTATAGCAAAAATAAAGCAACAGCAGGCCTTCCTGCATTCCTGCCTTTCCATGCCAGGCTCTCCTCTCCCCGTGATCATCCCCATCCCCCAAATCCTGGGGACAATTGAGCTGTGTCTCTGGCATGTGTGGAGCTGCAGGTCACAGCCATATTTAACGAGAACATTCATTCTCCACAGGCGCTATAGGGCTCCTCAAAACACCCTTTGTGTCACTGTGCCTTTCTCTCTACCCGCCTTGACACTAATTTAATCAAGATGTCCTTCTAGCTTGTAGATGGGGCGGACTCGTCAGTTCCGCATTCCTCCTGGCCTTAGGGTTTTGCAGCCAAATATTTAGAGTTGAAACCAGCAAGTTGAGAAGATGGGGTCAGGGTCTCCAAGCCAGAGCGTGCGGACCTTTTGGGTAAATTCTGGGCATAAAGAGTGTACTAGGTCTGTGGTATGTTTTTATAATTTTTAGTTAACCTAAATATTCTAGAGGAGCTGAGAAATATTTTCTTAGGCAAGTATACAGACAGTTAGAAGCATTTTTTTTTTCAAAGTAAGAAAAAAGACAAGATTTTATCCCCATATTTTTGGACTTGTCAGCGCTGTTTCTAGAATGCAACTAGAAAAGAGAGCTCCTCTGCCTGTCCTTTTTCTCCTAGTCTGTACTCTATAATTTTGCAAAAGCTGAAAACTTCAATTCTTTCCCAAGAACCAGATTTTAATTCAGATTTGCCTTTCTTAGCTGTTTCTCTAGACCACAGTCAACATCCAGACGAGAATGTCAAAACCATGGTAGGGGATTTAACCAATAAGAAAAATAAAGAAAGAAACCATCTGGAGCCCTGGCCCCACCCAGGTTACCTGGTTCTTGGTCTGATGTTCATTTCCTATGCTGTGGTATCTCCCAAAGAGGGCATCACTGTTCATCAGTAACCCCACCTCGCCCTGAGTTGATCTGTGGATGCCAAGCCAAATTTTTGAAGCGTGAGTATTATGGGCCAGAAGGAGTCAAATGTATTTGAGGAGGGAATGAGGCAGGCCTGGGGAACTCAGACAATCTATCTTAGGAGCCGATTTGAATATGTGTTGAAATTCCTCTGTCAACCATGGATCCAACTGTCATGACCTCCCGCCTGGGACATGTAACCATTCCCTCCATCATCTGCCTGCCAGTTTAATCGGCTCACATCAGCAGCGGCAGAAATACATTCAAAGGGCTATTGTTTCATGACCCACAAGGGCATTTTCAGAAACCTAGTAAGGCTCCAGAATGTAAGAGGGGTATATCCTCTGTAGCTTTTGGAGGAAAAAACTCAACTCTCTGTCCTTAACTCCTTCTTCTCTTGGCTAGGTCAAGTAGGCCATTGACCTGGGGTCAGGGACAACCCTAAGTTCTTACACCAATTTCAAAGTAATCTTCAAGTAATTTTACAAACCAAATTAAACTCCCAGTTATGAAAAACTGAAAAGCTCTTTCCAGCTCCCTCACAAAGCTATACTGCAAAAGTTCACCACCCTTAAATAAACAAACATCTCCTCCATATTGTTTCTTAAAGTAAGAACTGAGCCATTTCCCTTTCCCCTCTCTCTTTTTGCTGACTTCCTTATTTGCCCTCTTTCTCTGGAAAAGCCAGTAAGAAATGCTTCCATGATACTGTCAAATCATAAGAACATGGTCTACAGCTCCGGATTTTGTATTAGAGCAGGTATTCTGAATGCAAGAGAGGATACTAGCTAAGCCAGAAAGTGGCAAAAGTTTAGGGAAAGGGCTAATGGAAGTACCCTATGGGCTATGCAGAGCACCGTCTAATTTGCTCACATCCTATAACCAAATGATGACACATCCACATTGGAGATTAGAAATAGCTATCAGTTGAACAACAGGAATTTGTCCAAGAGAAGCAACAGCTTGTGAAGCATCATTTAATGAAACCTACAATATATTTAATAAAGTCAGCTATTCTTAGAAGAGCAACCTGGGGCCA